TTGACTTCTGATAGCCCCAATAAAAGGAGAACATTTATTTTCTGTCTTCCAAAACTCAGCTTGTGACGTTCCATTTTAAGTTATTGTGGCACAGACTGTTAAATAACCACTGATATACATTCTCCCCCTTCTTTCTTAGTTAGAACCCACACATTCTGGCCAGGCATGTGCCTCAGAGAATACAGACTGCACTCCTGAGATCCCTGTGCAGCTAGATACAATCATGTGACTAACTTGTGGCCCAGAGAAATGGAGCAAAAGTGGAGTATGCAACTTCTGTTTAATTTTTAGAGATAAAAGGGTCCTGTTTACTCACTTCTGCTCACTGAAATGCAGATATGATAAACTACTGAAACAACCACTGTGGACCAGAAGGCCTCGCATCACAGGCTACCCATAGTGGAAGAGAAAGCACCTCATCTTGGAGAAACTTAACACCTCTGGGTGTCTACTCGAAGCTTTCACATGAGAGGCAAAATCTGATCTTGTTTAAACCAAAGGTTGAACAAGGGTTTTCTGATATTTTCAGCCAAACTTAACACAATCTTAAGAATCATAACTAAATTACTGAACTCTTGCTTAATTTAAAAATACTATGTTTTGAAATGGTCAGAAAAAAATAATTAGAAATATTCTACATAATAGCCCAAGTTCACTGTCAAAAGATTCTTTTAAGAAAAAAATCTGAAACCTTTCACTATCTATAATACAAAGTGCTTTAAAAAATTCAGGATTTTTCATATTTAATTCTTTTTATTTTATTTTATTTTTTTAAACATTTTTATTGAGTTATAGTCATTTTACATAGAGCACAATTTTTCAGTTATACATGGCATATTTAATTCTCTTTGAAAACTAAATAAAACAGAATTTCCGTATACCTGACAAAAATTTTAAACATCTGAAACATCATAAATTTTAAATTTTGTTAGAAGCATCAGTGACACTGGGATATATGTAAGGACATGTAAGCTGTGTGAGCTCTGGGAATCATTCCATTCTCATGGAAGAAAAAGTATGTCAGTAGTAGTATTTCACTTTGGAGTTTCACCCAGGAGTTGTGCCACTGAAGTGACACCCAATTAAAGGCAGAAGGAACCTCCTTGATCATCACAGAGGTTAGGTGTTTCCCACTATACCTACATTGGTAGCTCTGATGCAAAATTCTTCACCATCTTAGTCCTATGGAACTGGGCTGAAAACTTAAAATATTCCTTCGATACAGAAAAAGACACTAAGAGGTTAGCTGATTATATATTAGGTTTTAGAGGGGAAATTTTACATAGACCTCATTTTTAGGGTTGGTTATGTGATTAAGGAATAAAAGAGACAACTAATAATCACACAATGACTACTGTAACCTGGGACTTTCATTTCTAAAAAGTCTCATTAAATATTTTTTAAGCTTGGGTAAGTTGCTTGACCTCTTGATGATTCACACAATGACTACTGTAACCTGGGACTTTCATTTCTAAAAAGTCTCATTAAATATTTTTTAAGCTTGGGTAAGTTGCTTGATCTCTTGATGATTCAATCTCCTTGATTATAAAATGAAAGGTTAGATGATTTATTCCTAGATATACATACAATCCCATATGATTTTTCTACAGGTATCCACATGCCTTACTCCCTCACTTGCTTCAAGTATCTGGTCAAATATGAACTTTCAGTGATGCCTACTGTAATTACCCTAATTTTTACCCCAAAGTTCACTAAAGCTTTGTACATTTTTTCCCCTTTATTCTCTTTGTGCCTCATTTTGGCCAGTTTCTATCACTACGTCTTCAAGTTCATTGATTTGTTCTTCTGCAATGTCTACTCTCCTGCTAATTCCACCTAGTGAGTTTCTCATTTCAGATACTATATTTTTCATCTCTAGATTCGGGCTCAGTTCTTTTCTATACCCTCCATTTCTCTCTGAAATGTATTCATATTTTCTTAAACACCTGGATGTAGTTATAATACCTATTTTAACGCACAGGCATTTAATGTACCTGCCAATTCTATCATCTGTGTTATTTCTCAGTTTATTTCTATTGGCTAGTTTCCCTCCTGGTCAAAGTTGCCTGTTTCTTTGCATCTCTAATAGTTTTTGATTCAATACTTGACACTGTGATTTTTAAGTTGTTACCTGTCTGGATCTTACTGTATTCCTCTTAACAGCACTGGGCTTCATTTTACCAGCAGTGAAATAACTCCTTGTTCTGGTTTCTTCAGAGAGGCATTTCAAAGCTTATTTAAGATGGGTCTAGCATAGGCTTTCCTATGGATAATTTAGCTCCACTCTTGAGGCACAGCCTTTTTGGGGTCTCTATTCAATTTCCCAAATGATCAACGGAAATCGTGAACTATGCATAGTAGGAACCTGAATGCCTTCCAGTCCTGTGTGAGCTCTGGGGATCATTCAGACCTGGGTATCATTCCTTGGTCATCCTTTGTCCAACTTTGTAATCTCATCCTACATGTGCACATCTCACTATTCGGCAAATACTCAAGGATAAATCCACTGCTGATTTATGAAGCTCTTTTGCTACACAGTTTTCTCTCTCTGGAACTCTGTCCTGTAATTTCCAGCTATTGCTGCCTCCTTTTACTTCGATCCCTTTGCTTCCCTAAACCTCAACTTAGCAAAACAGCTGCGTTCAGCTTGATATATCCCACCCTGTTCCATAGTCTGGAATGCGCCTTCAACTAAAAAGCCTGGGCAACCCTAAGGTTCAACTAATTGGTTTCCTTTCTATGAGGGATCATAGTCCTGCACTGCCTATTGTCTGATGTCTAGAAACTTTTTTTGTTCTCTCATATGTTTTGACCAGTTTATTAGTTATTTACAACAGGAATATAAATCTAGTCCCTGTTACTCCATCACAGGCAGAAGCTGAAGCTCTACAATTTTAATTAACAGCAGTATCTACTAAAATTTACATCATTAATTATCACATCTTTATTATTATCTCGGTAGCATTTAAAGAGTCAAATTAAAATGCCTTCTATTATTTTAACTGTGTACTCACAGTGCTTTTAGACGAGATGTAATACATAAACATCTAAGATAAAAATGGCTCATATTTTTAAAAGAGCCATCATTTATGAAGTATCCTGCTTTTTAAAGTTTTCATCTCCATTACAGACATTTTCATCAAGAGTTCCAAATTAATGTTCATAACATTTCCAAAACATAGGGTAAACAGATGGCATAGCTTTTAGTGGTTTCCTTGTTTTAAAGAAAATACAGATTCTCTAGAAGATTATTTAGAATTTTGTGATAATATATTATCTTCATGTGAAACATGCTTTTATTCTGGCTTGGCCTGCCCTGCGTGCCTATATCTCTCAAATTGTGCTGTTCTGCTGTCAACACATTTTCAGCCATCAAGCACATGTTCCCCCTGCAACCAGCTACTTAAAACTGCTTAATTGAGATTGGAAGAGGATGTCTGCTTCTTATTGAAAAAAAGGAAAATCAAGCCCAGTGCAGTATCACAAACCCTTGGTCTTCCTGAGCCAAAAATACTATATAACACAGGGATGAACTTAACATCTTTGGACTTTAGGTTGAGGATATAAAACTACAAGGTTATTTTAATAAGAATTCAGGGATAAATTAACACATTTTTTCACTGTGAAATTCAGTTAAAAAATTAAAATATGCATTTCACAAGAATGTGAATGCACATCCTCTTCAACATACCGTGGGGTTACATCCTGATAAACCCACTGTAAGTTGAAAATATCTTGAGTTGAAAATGCATTTAATATACCTAACCTACTGAACTTCATATCTTAGCCTAGGCTACCTTAAATGTGCTCAGAACACTTACATTAGCCTACAATTGGGCAAAACTGTCTAATGCAAAGCCTATTTTAAACTAAAGTATTGAACAGCTCATGTAACTTACTGAATACTGTACTGAGGGTGAAACCCAGAATGGCTGTATGGGGACAGAATGGCTGTGGGTGTTATCAGCTGTTTACCCTCGTGACTGCATGGCTGACTGAAAGCTGTAGCACACTGCCCCTGCCCAGCATCATCAGAGTATCCTACTGCTATTATTGGCCCCTGAAAAGATCAAATATAAAATTTAAAGTATGGCTTCTACTGAATCCGTACTGCTTTAACACCATCATGAAGTTGAAAAACCAGAAGTCAAATTACCGTGGGTCAGGGACTGTCTGTATACTTAATACAACCAAACTGTACATTTTAAAAGGTTAAGATGGTAAAAGTACAAGAAAAACAAGAAAAATGATATGTAAGAAGTTATAAATACCTTACCAAATTCATTACAGCTTATTATTAGACGTTAAAGAGAAAAACACTACTTCAAATGAAATCATACAATTTTTTTAATTACATTAAAAGGAAATTTAAAACATTGTTTTATATTTGCATAGATGTTCTAGCTAAGAAAGTAAAAGAGGAGGAGGAAAGAAGATTGAGATATTCTGCATTTGCAAGAATTCACTTTAAGAGGGAAATATCAGGAGATGATTCTCCACGGGTCTCTTGTGCTTTTGCATGTCTTACAAGTAGAGGCAGTGAATGCCTTTGTTCCCAAAGGTGTTTTTAAGGATATCTGTACAGTGTACACCCTCAGAAGACAGACATTGTCTTTTTTTCTGAGCAGGTTTGCTTATAGTCTTGCTAGGTATACATAGGGCTCCCCACGAGAGAAAACAGCAGGCATGCTTTCCACCCATTATTAAAGGTTCAGGTTCCCTAACGGAGGGTTCTGCTGCTATAACATAATCCACTGTATACAGGTATCCCCTGGCCCTCTTTGTGCCACCCTGTGGGAATCAGGTGTAGGGCAAGGACATAAGAAAATGCTAACACTCTGGTAATTCCTAATGCCATAGATTATAAAGTCTTTTGTCTCCATTCCACGAGCCTCATGTCTTTGGCAAACATTGATGAAACTGTATCCTGGATAACATGATAACTTGTCAGCTTAGAGGTAGGGTGAAATCACAGACCCTTTAGAGTTCTTGACACATACCTGTTACTGTTTTTGTTTTTATAGGGCTGCTGGCATATTCAGAGGCCTGATAAGACTGTTGCTTTGCCAGGGGTGCACTTCCAACAGACACTTCATCCTCCTTCCTTCTGCTAATTGGCATAACAAGAGGAACAGCTATCACAGGCTGCTGGAAGAGCCAAATGAAAAAGTAAATTATTTACTATTTCTAAAGCAGAGAAGGTTAAACACAGCATCTCTGAGGAAAGTCCTTCACATGTTGGGGTTGAGGTTTCATTATTTATTATTATTTTTTAAACTAATAATTACCATAATCCCCACCACCCCAGAGATAATAATCATTAGCATTTTGATACATTTCCTCTCAATGTTTATCTTTTCTTCCCCCCAATGGCTTACATCACTATGTTAGTTTCATATACACAATATAGTGATTTGATACTTCTATACATTACAAAATGATCACCATCATATGTTGGGTTACCATCTTTCACCATACAAAGATATTACAATATAATTGATTATATACCCCATGTTGTACAAGGGGCTTTTTTACTTTAAACAAATTAATCAATCTTTGCCACCTACCCTCTTTGTCTCTTTCACACACACTCACACAAGGACACTCAATTTCAATTTTAAATTATAACTCTGTTCAAAACCCAAGAGAGCTTGGAAATAATTAAAATTTAATATAAATTTTAATAAGAAGTATAAAGATAATAATGGTAAGGATAAATCAAGACTAAAATTAACTTTGAAATTTAGGGTTATTAGAAAATGAAAAGTTATAAAATGTATTTTAGGGACATACTTCTGTAAAGTGTTTATGCACATGTTAATACAGTCAAATTTTTTTTAAGAATTGCTGAGAATCTCTATATTTTGTCTGACAAGGTGATATTCACAGCATATTTAGAAAGAATAGAAAAATATCTATAGTTAGGGAAAGCTGGAAAACATTATGATCCTATATTGAATGCATGAGTCCTGAGCTGGACAATAACGCAGCTGTTTCATCTTTATTCACTGAAATAAAGTCTGATGTTACTGCTGATGACGCCCAACACAATCTTGTCAGATTTTTGGCAAATAAAATAAAAAAAGTATTTTAAGTTTGCTACAGGATCAAAGATCAATGTTGAACTGGGTGGAAAACAATCATCTAATGTTGGGTTTTAGCCACAAACTGAGAAGGAAATTGCAGCTTGGGAAACAACAGATGATAACTGTGATACAGCTGCATCAGATGGTGAATCTGGAGGAGGCTGGTCAGGCTGCAGTGCAGTCTAATGTTACCCTCAACACTACAGCATCCACACTTTTATAAGCCTCACCCAACTTATGAGTCTTATTTAATATCATTTAAATTGTGAATAAATATTTCAATGAGAACATATGTACATTATGTAACAGTATAATATATTCAACCAACATATGACTTAGAGGAAAAAAAAAGCCAGATTATTTTGCAAGTTGTTACTTAGGCTGAGTAAAAGAACAAGAAAAAGGATAATGAGAAAATGAAAAGATTATATTGTGAGAACCACTACAATGTAGAACACCCACTTTCATGTTATGTAAATATTTAGTCAAGCTGACAATATTTCTACAACTCCAAATAAGAAATAGCATTTAAAACCTAAATGAGAAATGCTGAGCATAATTTAAACTTTCTCATCTATGAAAGTTAACAGGATGGAGATGTCTACTGGAAAAATCCTTTATGCTCTAATATTTAGTGATTCTATAATGCCTTGGGTTTCTTGGCCATCATTTATAAACTCAGAATATGATGAAGAACTCTAAGAAATTACAACAAATTTGAGGGTCAAAATTAATAAATAATAAATAATCAGAGAAAATTATATTTTCCCAAAACCACCCTATATATTACATGTCACAAATTATATATTTCATATTATACATGCTACATATATAGTATGTGTATATAAGTAAATACAGGTGTAAAAATTAAAGGATTGTATCAGTGTCATAATAGTGACTGACTCTGGGAGGAATGGGTGGTCAGTTAGCAATCAGAGGGGATTTTAGCTTTACTTGTAATATTTTATTCATCTCTTTTAAAAATAAGCAAATGTGATAAATTGCCGGTAATTACTGTTATAATAGAATATGTATGTTTTATTCTTTATAATTTTCTGTATTTTTAACACTTATTAAATTTAATAATATAGGAAAATTTTATAGGAAGAAGGACGAAAGGCTTCTTAGGTATTTTGGAACCATGGATATTGATGAGGCAAGGAAAGGACAGAGCCGGGGCTAAAATGCCACTGAAATTTGGGGGAATATCCAGTACCAAAAGGTAGAAGCATGTAAGCAGAGCAATGAGAGGTTGCTAAAAATAAATGGCATTGCTTTTGTTTTGACTGGGGTAGCCATATTTCCAGAAAAGTGGTTAAGAGTCACTCATCTTATTTTTTACCCAGTATCTTTTCATGCCTGACCTGCAGCACTTACATTAGCAATCATTCAGCAAATATTTATGGAGGGTCTCTGTTGGACACCATTATAAGTATTTAGAATACAGCTGTGTAGGACACATGTAAGATCCTTGCTCTCTTGATACAAAGGTTTTTATCTTGGTATCCACGTGGGAGAAAGGGCTGGAACCAATCTCCTGTGGATACTGAGGAAGGACTGTGCTAAGAATGGCATTACTATACTCCTTCATACTGTCCAATGCACTAACTGCTTCTAGAGGGAGGAATGGTCTCAACCATGATTTTATTTGTGTAGCCCCATATCTAACATACTACATTGTATTCTGCAACTGTTTGACAAAAGGAAGCATGAAGTGGGAAAAGGATGGCAGAAGTCTCAAATGACATTAGGACAAAGAAGAAAAGCCTTTAACAGATGCTCCTTGAGAAGCAGAGTTATACTTTAGTTAATTTAGTATATTCTTATATAAATATAAAATTATGCATTTTCTCCCATCAACTAGCTTTAAGTTACCTCAGGAAAAAAATACAAAGCTATTTCAAGTAGAATACTGTAAAACTGCAATTGAGTCAATGGGAAAATGCAATCCAATACTGCATAAATTTGGCCTCAAAAATTCTTGGCTCTAGAATATACCAGATGTGACAGTAGGTAAATAAAGCTCAATAAGCATAAATATCTTCATCTTTAAAATGGGAATAAAAAAACATCAGAATTACATTTGTATCGTGATGTGGAAAATTACGTATAAGTATCCTAGAGACTGTAATTGGCTACTCTTTACTCTGTAATTTATACCCCCTTAACCAAACATATATCCCAGGTCATCTGCACCAACCATCCCAATACCAGGATTAGACACACTCAGTGCATTTTTGTTGAATAAACATAAATACGAAGAAATGTAGAGATAATAAAGTGAAAACAAGTCTTATGTATCAGGCACTCTAAGAATAAACATGTAGGCACTTTGAGGGAAAACAGGCCAGTAATCTAGTCTCTCTAAAGTATCTGCTTTACGAGCAATTATACAGCAAGTCCCTTTAAAAATTAATTCAACTCAACTCTGAGCTGTAATTTCTTGTAAAGAAATTAAAGAATTTTTTAAAGGGGTATAGCAGGGGTCATAAGAATCCTGATACATCCATAAGTAAAATCAATAGAGGAAATACATAACTTCGATAAGTAAGAGAAAAAGAGTCACTCGTTGAGAATTATGAAGAGTTTCTCACCTGTGGCATATGTTTGCTGGTTCGTTTCTGAGGTTGATAAATGAGCCAAGTGTATAAGATAGGGTCAATATTAACTGCTAGTCCTTGTACACTACAAAGAAGCATAGCACCTAAAAAACGAGGTTTGAAAACTGTTACAATTCCTCCTAAAAATAATAAGCTGAGTATCACTTTACATCAATTACAGTAGGATAGGTACAATAAAAAGACAAACAGTAATAAGTTGCCAACGATGTGGAGGAATTCAACCTTCATACATTGCTGGTAGAAACTAAAATTGTGCAAATAATTTGGAAAACAGTCTGACATCTTCTCAAAAAGCAAAACAGACAGTTACAACATGACCCAAAAACTCTATTCCTAGGTATATACCAAGAGAGCGGTAATCATGCCCATGCAAAAACTTGCATACAAATTTTTACAGCAGTATTATTCACAATAGTCACAAAGTGGGAACAACATCAATGCCCATGAATTGCTGAATGGATAAACAAAATGTGGCACAGTCATGAAACGGAAGAAAATTATTTATCCATGAGAAGGAATGAAGCACCAATACATGTTACAACATGGATAAACCTTGAAAACATGCTAAGTGAAAGAAGTCAGTCACAGAAAACCACATATTATATGATTCTGCTTATATGAAATGGCCAGAATAACCAAAATCATAAAGAAAAATAGTAGATTAGTGGATGCCAGGGCCTGCGGGGAAGGAAGAATGGGAAATAACTGCTAATAGATACATGGTTCTTTGGGGAGTGATGAAAATGTTCTGTAATTAGCAAATGGTGATTGCTGTACAAGCGTGCAAATATTCTAAAAACCATTAAATTATGCACTTTAAAATAAAGTATTTTATGGAATGTGACTTACATCTCATTAAAAGTGCACTTGTCTTCACAAAATAGTAATAAGTTTAATTTTTAGGCAAACAATAATTTCTATACTGGCCATGAGAATGGAATATTATCTCCTTTTTTGTTTATATTACAAAACTAACTCATAATGTGAAAGGAAGTATTATCATAACCACTCAATAAATCACTGTAAATTACAGCTTTAAATGTGCAGAAGCAAAGAGAGAGATCTGCCTAGATGAAATGTAGGCCAACACTCTGACATAAAACACAAAGCTGAAGTGTAACAAGTTGCAATTCCATCCTACTAACTAAAATATTTTTGTCCCTCTCTGATAAAAAGTAGCTCACATAAACTTAACTAAAGCAAAGCACCCCATTTTAAATTTATGTGTGGCAAGTGATAAATATCCATAAATAAGATTTTACATTTCTACATTTATCTTTTGATTAAAAAAAATACCACTAGGATGTATGGAATATGAAGGAAAGGATATTAGTCAGTTTTGCTCTCAATTGTATTTCCAGCAACTAAAAAAGTACCTACCACCTGGCAGGGGCTGAAAAAAAAGTCACAATAAATGGTAAATAGATTCTCACGTTAGTTGGAGGAAAGAGCCATTTGTTTTATAATGCTGCATATAATTTAAACAACTAGTACAATTTGTATAATTAGCACTAATACAAAGTCCTATGAAAAGTGAACCACACAAAGATGAAGATACAAGAATGGAATAGAGGAAGCAAATGAAAGAGAAATGTCCACTTTTTTCAAAGCTTTGCACAGAATTTTCAAAGAACCAAAATTTGCCATGTGAGCTCTTGTTCTGCCTTACAGTGCTGCTTTCCCCAGGAACCCACAATCAGCACAGACTCTTAGGCAGCATGCCGAGACAACACAAGCAATCCCTACCTTCCATGTACAAATGCATGTGCTAGTGAGCAGTGATTCACTCAAACATATATCAGAAAGGGATGATGGTGAGAGGCTAAATACAAAATGACTGCAAAACAGGGGGTTTATAATTGAAGTCAA